TGTAAAACCAGGAAGCCTCGGACAGCTGTGTCGACCTTGTTGGGTCTCCGAGGCACAGTGTACGAATTCATCGACAAAAATGGGGGGTTGTGGACCGGAGACTTCACAGGCAGAACGCAAGCATACTACTACCCACACGCGGTCAACAGGCAACTGAATAGACCGTTTTCCACCTTCTTCACACACGTTATAACACAACGCATATTTACGAGCTGGTTGCGGGAAACGCGCCCTGCACAGCTCAGCACTAGCTTCCAGGACTATGACTTGGTCGGAAACACTCCAACCGGATATGTATGAACAAATGAGCATTGGGGAATGTTTGGACCAGCCTATTCGGATTTTCACAGTCACCAGGGAGTGAAACCCACAACCAACATCATTAACAGTACCTGGTGCTTATGAAAAATCGAATGAGCCAATCCAAACATTCATCATCTAAACTGATTGAGCCATTCGCACAAGGTGATCACCGTCGACCGTGTAGCTCAAGGGTTTGAAATCCAAGTCCGACAGTCCTGACAGGGACACAATAAATACGCACTGCTGACGAATCCCGAACTGGACGAAACAGCTCTCTCTTATTGTTTGTTGGTGATCACATACATTTCCATCGCATTCAAACGAGCAATGCACTATGCTTACAGCACACGCCAAGCTTGTTTTTGAGTGCCTTGGTTGGCACACACATTAAGATGACCTGAAATTGAACACTGATCACTTCACATGCTTGCTTAGTCCTATATGCACATGTAATATGGGTTGCTTTTTTCTGAATACCACTGTTTGAACGGGTTTATAGGAGCTGTGGTACAGATGAGAACCATGGAACTGAATACAGCCGTGATGCAAGCGGATGGAGAATACATTTACAAATGGAAAACATCCTTGCGCAGGAGTTTTGTGACTCGAGTGCCACAAATAATCATTAAGGTACTCCAACTGGCAAGGAAACGGTGCGCTTTTTATCATCCATAAACGGTCACACCACACAGGCACGTATATTCTATAGACTGAAGTACCAAGGTCACAAAACTATACCTACCTCATTTCATGGCTTTTAAAAAACTATACCACAAAAACCCCAATGACAGAACTGTGCCTGGTTTGCCGTATTTCCTATCAATGATCCAGTTATGTAACGAGCTAAAATAATTTCTCATTCAAACAGCAAAATAAATGAACTATCAGTATGGAGTTGCAAAACCATGTCTTCACGTGAGCACTTCAAGATATTGAATTAAAACGGGAAGCTCAAACATGTGCACTACCAGATTTCCACAAAAGTTCATCATTAGAAAACATTATTCTTGCTCTTGTTCTTGTTCTTTGCAGTACACCTCACTTAATCTATGAGGTTGACATGATTGATTAGCTGTTTTTCACGACTCTAGCACTGGTTTCATCATGCGTTTATCGATTCCCATTTGTATGGACTATCCAGTTAAACCCATTAAAATTTCCCACCCTCATTCATCTCACTCTGCCCCTGGTCAGATCATCAAATACGAGCCGTATGGTCAATCAGTTGATTGGTGGTCTTTTGGTGTATTACTGTACGAAATGCTTGCCGGACAGGTATGTTCTTGTCATCTCCCACCCCCCCCCGCCCCCTCCCTTGTGCCAGCACACGCACACTGTACAACATATAATTTCGTACCAGGTATTGTTGATCGATCCATCTCTGATCGTTCATTTTATTAGTCTTTCGAGTTCATTTACTCCAGTCATCGCGGGGTCATCTCTCCGGTATTTTGTTGTCTGCAACCATCGCAGTTCTGGGGTATTTTTTATCGGTACCGTTTTTTTGATGCGATCAAAGTGAGGGTGTAGGGTGTAATCTGCCGGGTTTTTTTTTTGAGGGGGGGGGGGGGGGGGCA